AGCCTTTATTCTGGATAACACAGAGACAACGGATCACTTAACGTGTCTACTAGAGCCTATTTATAAAGCTTTGGTCCTTCTAAACTAATCCTGGCCTATCGCATGCGAGGGGGTCCTGGCGTGCATGCTGATTTGTACTTTCCCACGCTGCGGCCCCGGGGGACGTTTCTAGAATGACTGTACTGCACGCGTGAGCGAATGTCGCGTGAGCGAACGGCGCGCGCGGCCGGTCTGCAGGCATGACTCAACTGGGGTGCATTTCCAGTCGTAGGCTCTAAGTGCGTCACCGCTTGAGTACCCATAACAGAAGTCCGGTTACATAACCGTTTCAGTCTACATTCGAGAAGTCATTGGTCCGACGTAAGACACGTAGAGACTATGGGCTAACCCCGGTGTGTGTTATAATTATAACAAGACTTATTTACTTTACATACAGTAGAAAATGCTAGGAAGCCCAAGGCTAGTTCGGGAAACGCGACATCTTCCTAAAGAAAAGGTGACAGAACTGTGACTCGTGATTTTCATTCACATTCACTATTCCACTAGGAGGAATTCAGTCACTATGCCAGGGTAGAAGTGGATTCCATTTAGGCATTTTTGTTCACAATCTCTTCGGGTTTTATGTGCTTCAACGTTGTGGGCAACACGACCAGGTGTTCGAGCAAGACGTTCGTATCCAACTAGTGTAAATAGTGGTGAGTCTTTAGCCAAGACTGCGATGTCGGTAATAGCATTCTGTCATTGTGAAAAAAAGCTTGAACATGCATAGTCTGCAAGTTCTCTCTTAACGAAAATTTAGGCAATTTTTGGTTCTAGGAGGAAGATAGGGCGTCAAATAGGACTTCTGGTTAATTCTCAAAAAGACGTGTACGTGCAACGACGTGAAGCAGATTCGCTTAGAGAGCCAGAAGTGCTACCTACAGAACTCGAGGTCTACTCCACACAGACAAACCTAGTGCAAAAGTAGCGGAACCTCAAGGAAGAGAGAGAACCCCCGCTATAGCTATCGTGATGGTAAAAGTGTGGATTACAGTGATATTTCAGGCATCTGGTGCAAACGCTAGTACCAAGCCACCGGTCAGCATCTTATTGGGTAAAACATGTGAACCAATAGACAGCAAGCAAAGTCAGCCAATCAACGCGTGCGGCAAATAGGAAGGCACAGTGAACGGTGAAGCTGTGTCGACGCCGGTACGCACAGACCCTCACCACTGATGCACAGACGTGAAGCATGTGGTGGGCTACAAAAGGGCCGTGGGTGAACCTGCCTATTTACATCAAGGTTCTCTGGATTTACCTCTTCAGTTTAACTTATGCCAATTTCACAACAAAAGCCCTCAACACCGCCCCCTTCAGTGATTTCAGGGCGCGACCATGGAACTTGCATGGAGCACAGGACTTCTATCCCTGTACCTTCAAACGAAGTTCACCGGAGGTGGAGGACCCGGATATGATTGAGTGCGAGCAAAAGGCCAGTCAGATGATGGGAAATACTATTCCTACAATCTACCCGGACGACAGGGTGGTTCGTGAGATCCGGATCAACATTGAAGCCGAGCTGACGTTTATACCAGCTAGGGCCTTCGAGTATGTAGGCCCAAGTCTTCACACACTCACAATTTGTGGCGGTGGGCTGCGTCTCACTCGAAGAGGTGCATTTGACGGATTGACACAACTTCGCAAGATCAACCTCACAGACTTGATAGTCGGG